AGAGTATAGAGGCAGAATAAAATAGTAATTCCTAGAAAGAACAGAAGAAAAAGCACTGAGGATTTTGATGGGTGACCATTTCAATTTGTTACAACCAAACATTTCTTATGCTAAAGTTGCTCCATATTTCTTGGAAGAAATGCTGATTTACACCTGTAATAGTCTCACATTATTTTCTTAAACAGATTATGAATAGTATCTTATCTATCTCAAAGGAGTCACTAGGATTATGCTTACTGCATGCAGTTAATTTGGGACAAGATAAGTGAGAAAAACAAGAATAATTTATATGCCCTATGTATTCTATAATTTTATTATCTTTGTAAAGATAATTAGTTCTTCTTATAGCATTGTTTATGTAAAACAAGATTGCCAGAAGCCTTATGAAACGTGTTGGGGCAGAGCATAATGAACTTTAGATCTTGCTTTCATTGGAAGGCCAAGTTCCACAGGACTGTGTTTAGCCATTGCATAAAGGCTGTGTATAAACACTTGTTGACTAGCACTGGAATTATTAGACCTACAGGAATGTTCTGAAGAGTACAGAATGAGGAAATTACTATAATTTTGCACCTGAGGAATGTGTTTCTAACTTGCAAAGCTGATGCTTTAAATATTTGTCTCTGTAGAATCTGAATCTGCCTTTCCGGCTGGTTCTGTAGATCACAAACTTTCCTTTATGAAACACTTTGTGCCAGCCAGTATCCTTCCTTTAAGTTACTTTTATGGCTTCTCTACATACAAAATTAGTATAAGGAAAGGCAGGGTATGAATTTATGGTATGGTAACTATTCATTCCTGTTTGGAAGCTTCAAGTATACTCTCTACACTGTGCAATTGAACTGTAAAATCTTTGGCTGACCTTAGCCACATTTACTTAGGTTTAGGGTTAGTAGGTTGTGGAATTGTACGGACAACAGGTATAGTGAGAAATTAGTGTGAAAGGGAAGGCTATTCTGAATGTTTTAAGAGTGAATGTGATGCAGGGACAGTACTGTCCTATATTTATACTGCTTTGTGTGTGAAGGGCCCTGTTAGCAATTAAAAAAAAAAAAAAAGAGAAAAATTGTTTATCTAACCCTTAATTCTGTTCTGACATTGCAATAGGAAATGAGAGGTAAAGAGTTCAGTGTTTTGCTACTAGTCTACAAAGCCCACCGAGCCTATTCAGAGATCATCATTAAACAAGGAAGCTAAAATTGTGTTTGAGCGCCTAGGATTGGGTCTGGCTGTAGAAGACTGTTCTGGTGTTGACTGATCATGAAAACTCTTGTAACTGCATATAGAAATAGAAGCAAATAAAGATCAATGTGGGTTATTGGCACAATAACAGGTTATTAGGAATCAGCAGGCCTCACTGTAAGAGTTTTTAAATAATTCAGTTACCTTATTTATCAGATGTCCAGCCTAAGACCATATCCACAGCTGTATTACCACTATCAGAGCAGATACCATAGGTATCTTGCTTTTGACATTCTCCCAGTGTCTCCACAATCGTATTAGATGCCTGTAATTCAGCTGTGAGCCTTCACACACTCTGAGCTCGCACTGCTTAAAAATACCAGCTGTCCCTGCAGCAAGTTATGCTGAAGCCCTTCTGGAAAATGATGCGTGACTGATTTGCCTCTTCAACATTAAGCATGGAATACTGCTGCACTACAGCATTCCCAGTCCACCTACGCGGTGCCTAAGTCTGTGCTTCAGGCAGAGCCTGGTTATCCAGCCTAAGCCCATGACTTCAGGCCTGGCAGCGTGGTTTGGCTTCATCCTATGAATGGAATGAATTTCCTCAGAGACCCTCTTAGTCTCACCTGTAGCCTTCACTGAACCAGGGCTCCCGTGACTAATCAAGAGATGTGAGTGGAAGTCCAGGCTTAAAAAACAATGTTATTGCACCTCTGGAAAATTCCAGAATTAATCATTAACCTTGTTGTAAAGATAAGGCTTCTTCTGAGTATGTTGACATAAATCTTTATAAAAAATTTATGCTATATAGATTGTAGGCTAAGATATCCATATCCTATAGGTAGAACAAGTAGAATAAAAGCTACCCTCTGTCAATGGTCTGTTTCCTAACCAGATAAGCAGTAACTTTCAATCCAAGCACAAAGCAGATAATCTGCAGTACAATTAATAGAAAGGAAAGCAGTGCTTCTCTACCTCTGAATGCTAGCTAAGAAGGTAGAATAGCTCTTTCTCTGCCTCTTGCCTTAATTATTTTTTAAGCTTGGCACTTCTTCCATTTTGGTTTTTAAATGGCCACCTTCCACATGTGGAAGTAAAATGGCTCTGCTATTTTGTAAAGACAGTCAAGCTACAGGGAGATCATGACTACCCTGAAACTCATACAGCAGTTTTTAATAAAGCAGAGTATCAAAGCAGGAATCTTCATTCATTCCAGTGGGAGGACTTGATTTGGTAGCTGTTAGCGCAGAGCTACAAAACAGGCAAACGTGATAGTTAGTATGTATTAATGAACGCTGGTTTTCAAACATTTGTCAGCTATCAAAACTCTGCAGGTATGCTTTCTTAGAAGAGAAGCAGCATTCAGGAGCTTGCTGTGGGGTTGCATCAGCCAAACTGACACAGGTCCTGTTTGAGCTTACATAGAAGAAGTTGCACTTGTATAAGAAAGTCAGTAAAATCATGCTTCTAGGTAGCTGGACAAAAATAAAGTACCAGTGTATGTTCAGAGCATGTGTCTGACTTGAGCTCTGAACATAGCTCTGTCACTGTAGTAGTAAACTAAAAAATAAAAGAATCACAAACTCCACAATGGTTTAGACTGTGAAATAATGTAGTTAACCATGTACAGTCTCCTTCTGCTGGTGCTCTGTGATTTATAGTATCTTATGTCAAAATATATTAAATGTCTTACCAATGTACACATTACTTATAAACACATCATTTAAAGCTATTCTATACATAGCAACTGATAAAGATATGCAAGTTAAAGGCACTCTGAATGTTGGCACTCTCCAGTCGTCTACACAAGCACACACACATCTGTTGTGATACTCTCACAACAGACACCAAAATACAATCATTTCCAGGACCATTGGGGGATGCACATAGCCTATACCCCTTTCTCATACTAACTACAGATGCAGTCTTACTGAGAACAATTAATTGTTGCCAGTAGTTTTACAAGGAATTAATTTCAATGCATAACATATTACAAATGGGTTGTTCTGTCTCAACAATGCTAGGTTAAAATGGCTTAAAAGGAAAAAAACATCTCATTTTTCTATTCCCCTGCCAGCTATATTTTCTCATAAAGGTTTGTGTTTCCATCTTTGAATATATATTATATGTATTCAAATATATATATACATATTCAAAGATGGATTATATATTTATATGTATAATATAAATAAGGAAAGATGATCCAGTAAGTATCCAGTGCTTGTTCACCCTCTTTTTTTTTTTTCTTCTCCCAAGATTGCTTTCTCTGACCTGCATTATTTTTATCTGTTTTTCAGAGCAGCTGAATTCCAGATGGGTTAAGATATAGCTAAGGAAGATAAATAAGTATGACACAAGCCTATGTCACCCTCACCCTGCAGCAGATGCCTTCAGCATTTTGTCCTTCTAATAAACAGAGATTTCAAAAGAGGAGCAAATAGGTCACCTGTGCAACCTCATAATATGTTACCTAGCTACTGAGTTAAGTATATGTTCTATTTACTGATAGCTCTTATGACCCTGAATGAGGATTAGATTGACAAAGAGCTGACTCACTTCATTTCTTGGAGTGACCCAAGAGAATAGAAATGGTCAGAGAGCAGGCAACACCTTTTCCTTGTACTGGTGACAGTGAAATAACAAGCTAAGTTAATCATGAACGAAAACTAGAGTAGACACAGAAACCTACGCAGGCTCACGTTTAATTTTGCTGCAAGGAGCAGCAGCACCTCTGCCAGATGATTTTTTTTTTCTTAGCCTGTTTTCAGATACATCCTTTATATGTGGCCAGGAATCTCCACTGATCAAAAGTCCTCCCAATGCCTACGTTTGCATCTGTTTAACAGACGCATACTTCTAGTTCCAGTATTTCCTGCATTTTTAAGGGAAACTTGTTGGGTTGAGAGCTGACAATTTAACTTCCACATTTGATGGGAAGCCTTTTGTTGTTTCCAAACCTGATATTGGTGCTCTTTAAGGAAATATGTTCAATTTAGATATTTGGATAAATCTCTAGCCTGAAATGGTTTGTGCACACTGGCTTTTGCTGCTGTTAGTAGATCCCTGGAACCTCATTGGGCCAAAGAGAAAATTCTTGCAGTAAACATTTTGTGTTGAGCTATATAGACCAAGACAGTATTTTCCTCTAGCTGCTGTAGTTGTTTTCCCTCTGACATTCAGGCTGCAAATCCAGTTAAACAGGAACTCTTCAGGGGCTTTTTGTGTGTTGAACTCAGTAGCGACACTTCAAACGTAGAAGTGGTTTGATTGGTAATAGTTGTCTGTGATTAAAAGGGCTATGGATTATTTTAACTAATTTCCTACCAACTGAAGAAATGGCTATAGTTCTGGTGCTAATGCTAAAGCATTATTTGATAATATTGAGCAAACCTTAGTGCAACCAAAGGTTCTAATTGAGCTGGTTTTATATTTAGTCAACAAGGGAAGAGCATAGAAAAGGAGTAGGTGATAATGTGATAAGTCTGATGGACACATTTATAAAGGTGGAGAAGGGGCAAATATTGTCAGCACTGACTCTTGACCTGCTTCATATGAACTTTCAGGATTTTCTGCAGAGGTCTGCAGAAGTTGGTGCTATTCATTTCAAAAAGGCAACAATGGCAAAACCTTCTTGTCTTGATGCATTAGTATCTACAACCTTCACAGCTGGATTGAAGATGAGTACCTCTCTATAGCCCTGTAACAAATTTCATCAGATAATGGGTGTTTGATGTCTTTCGAAATGCTGCTTTCATCTCAATGGCATTTATGGTGCCTGGCTTAAAACAAGAAAAAAATAAAATGATTCTACTTGGTGCACTTCTCTTGCTTTGCTTATTCTTGACCAACATTTAAAATTCTTTATTGTTGTTATTTATCAATTAACATTTATACAATGTGGGAATAGCACATTATAATGCCCACAGCTTTTTTTCCTGTTCGTTTCCTAATTTCTGATTTGAAAATGCCAGTGATATCAACTCCAGTTTAACAAAGACAGAAACCCAAAATATCTGAAATAATTTAGTTAATGCTAAAAGTTACTGTGGAAGGGTTGAATGGCAAATAATCAGGGAGGGAGCATTTTATTCAGGGAGGCAAATCTACATTCCACATAGTTTGAACAATCTCATCGTAATGAATAATCAGTAGTGTGTGAAAGATTTTGAAAGGCATTTTGTGAAGGAAAAGCAAAATATGGAAAAAGGAAAATGCTGATAGATTGTAAAAATAACTCCCGTTGCTAATATTCACAATTCCGTGCGAAAAACTAGAGAGGTGTCAGCCATTTTCTTCTTATAATCCTGATCAAATTTCCTGTTCAATGCCACAGTTAAATAATTCTTCCAGTCTCCAACAGCTCCTATGAAAAAGAAAATATTTTAATTTACCATTATTTCTTGAAGCCCATTAACCACGACTTACTGAAGATCTATACTTGAATAGAACGATTATTTCAAGGAAGAATGACAAGCAGAAAGAGATTTAATGCCAGGAATAAAACTCAGTACCTTTTCTCATGAATGGGGAAACTGAGTGATCCATTACTCCCTCAAAATCCTTAGTGTAGTTTGCCATGGGATTGTCTTTCATTATCTCAAATGAGGTATTATATATTATTTTGTTGAGAACTTCCTCATCTAAGTCCTTCTCCAGAAACTTCATAATCTTACGAATTTCTCTCTTTGGATTCTGCAGAGAAGAAAGTACGACAAGAAACAGAGCCAAAAAAAGCAAGGAAATTGGAGTTGTTATCAAGGTGAAAAGTAAAGTTGTGTGAAGGTTTACAGGTACAGATGACATAATAGGCATCTGTTGATTTTAGATATGTACTGAACTTCCAGATTTCAAACAGATCTCTATAAACACACATTCAGGCTTTACCTCCTTCATATCCTCATAGAAGAGGAAGAGAATACGGTGCTTGTCTTTTGCCTTCCACCATCCTTTTACGTGGTCATACCAGGATCCCCAAAGCACTGAAAAAGGAGTAACAGCAGCAGTAGCTATAAATACCCAGTCTTATCTTGAGCTATCTGTGTCTCTGACACTTCCTCCACAATCAGTGTCTATATATTTCCCTGTTTTTTAAGCTAGTTTTGATTCACTTTCAGTTTGCTCTGCAGAGTGTTGGACTATATGGACAAGAAAGATTCCTTTCAACGTGTATTATTCTAACTGGTTGAATTATTTGGTATGCTGTCAGAAGTGGCTGTTTCTCTCCAGTAAGTACCAATCTGACTGGCTTGGACAGAGGTTGCTATGTTCTAAGCAACTGCGCTGGCAGAAGAAGGCATGCAAGTGGAGACTTTTAATTAGGCATGACACTTTCACTCTGGTCCAGACAGTGGTGCTTCTAGGCCTACATATTTCCAAAAAGGACCTATGGAAACTTTTTCTGACCAAAATTGAACACTGTCATCCAAATGAACAGGTTTTATTTTTTGGATATTAGTGCCTCTTTTAGAAGAAGAAGAATCAGTTTATGAGGTTGCCTGTCCTTAGCTAGATAATTGGCTGTTTTCAGATGCCTGATTTTTAGACAGTTGAATTTATGTAAAAGGACTCTCCTAGTTCAAATTCATGCTGCACAATCTATGCATAATTAAACTTGGCTCTCTTGTGTGTCATGCTAGAATACAGCCATTGAGCTGCTGTATTTTCCCTGGTGGCTTCTAAGCAGGTTTCTTTTATCCTCACAGAGAAAAACCTAAAAATCATCACATATGGTTTTGAAAGATAATGAAGGAAAGAATAGCATTGTTTTTTTTCTCTCAAAGTGTGCATGTAAAGATATGGTTCATCTTTTAGGTATTCAAAGGTAAAAACCTTTGAATGAAGAGAAATTACTACTGAAACACTTTTAGTGGGTATTCCTCCACAGACTGTCAGCACTGAATTTCAAAACAGATATTTAGCTATTGGGTAGTTTTAAATGAACAAAATTTCTTAAACAACTATTTGCAGCTCATCACCTTCTCCACTCATGAATTTCTCTGTGAATTCCTCAATGGTTCCTGGGTCAGGCAATACTTTATTCATTCTGTGGAAATGGTAGTATGACACCAGGTTGTCTTTTGCATTTCTTGCCATGTAGATGATCTTTGTTGGATGTGAAAATGAGAGAGAGAGAGAGAGGGAAAATACAAGATTAAGCATGCTTCTATAAATATTGAGCTTCTCCTTGTTTTCCCTTGGAGCCTGAGTAACAAAGGCTGAAGAGATTTTGCTTGGAAACTGCCATTCTCTGACCTCCAACACAGAAAACTCAGCCACCACTTCTTTAGTTTCACACAGACCTTGAGCAAGAAAGGGGAGATAGCTGAGGAGACCTTTCACAAAGATTCTGGAAACCACATTCAGTCTGCTTTTATTACTTTCTTTCCATTTGAAATAGAGAGATTCTTACCTCTTCAGCCTTACCTTGCACTTTTGTTCCCAGAAGGAGGGAGGCACCAGCTGCACAGGGAGATGACTTTTCATTGTTCGTGGAGAAGGCATGGCTTCAGCTAACTTCAGGCCTGCAGAAAGACTATTTATGAGAACTGACCTGCTCTTTAAGTTCTACTTGTGCTTCTTTGTTATTGAGATTTTGATGGTGACCTTTTAGAAGGTCACCTTAAAACGATCATTTATCTCCGAAGCAACTAAACAGAACGTAGACAACATTGCATAAGCAACTTTTGTGCTTCTGAAGGAATTTTTACTCATGTAATTTTACTTATGTGTTGAGGACATCTGCAGCTGATTTAGGTACTGTGGAGTATGACACACAGCTTTCAGAGGCACACCTTCAGTAGGGCCTGTGCCACATCTGCCAGCCTTGTATCAGCTTGTGTAGTACTCAATGCTTGTGGTAAAGCAAATGAACTGCACCCTGATTCTTGTTGTGGCACATAGCGCATTGGCAAAGAAAGCCCATGGCATCAGTTATGGATGCTTGTTTTATTTCCCTTCATTTAAAATACAAGTCTATTTATGTGATATTCACCTGAGTATCCGAGAGATGAAGAATCTGGGATATGCCACTCAAGGAAAGGATGGCGTTTGTAAGTACTGGCACGTCTACACTTCTCAACGTCTCCATTTTGTTCAATCATATCCACTATCTCCTGTGTCCACGTAGTACCTGAAAATGTCAGTGCTTAGATGTTTCGCCTGGGGAGAGCTGAGAGTCTCTTCTGCTAGGGAACTGAAAGCTGGAAGGATGGAATCCATGTCAAAAGAGGAAGGAACAGCACAGAGCGTGATTGAAAAAACAGAAAGAGAGGACAATGGAGGAAAAATGCATAGTTAGGTATAAAACGTGATTTTCAAAGCACAGTTTCAGGGATTCTGTTTTTGAAACGTTTTTTTTCTTTCTAACAGAAACACCCTCTACTGCCACTGTGAGATAAACAGACACAGTACTGTTTGGAGACTGCATTATTTGAAAAGAAGATACTCCCGTATCCCAACTTCCACCTTTTCACAACAATTCAACAATTTCAATTTTTGTTTTCATCCTGAATTTGAATGAAAAGAAAAAAAAAAAGAAATACATAATCTTTGAGTGAGTATATAGTTTGACAATATAAAAAAGTTGCAGTATTTTCAATATTCTCATGTGAAATGCTTTAATGAAGCTCAGTACATTTTATTTCATCTGCCTGAATTAATGCAATACCTTGTGTCTCTCATGTGCCTCTTTTCCGTTGTAGCTGTGGTCATGAGGGCAATCACATCTTTTCCCAGGTACTTTGGCTAGAGAACCAGCTAAGGAATAACCTGGAAAGCTATCTGGGTAGGAAATTCAGCCACTAATAGGATGCTTGAACTGTGTGAACCTGGCAGATATAATATAATGTCAAATGTACTCCTGATTTTATTTATTTTCAGTACTATGGTTGAGATATTTTAATCTAGGCAGACTCAAATAACATCCTTTTAGTTAAAGTAGACTAGAGATAAGCTAAAATCTTTCAGCAAAATATTTTCTCTACCTTCAAAAATAAATAATGTTGGGTAACAATATGCATTTTTTTTTTTCTGCTGGAAACGACACTTAAAAATTCTTGCTAGTTTTTTGTGACCTTCAAATGCTATTGTGTTCCCAAATTCCCTGAACTGTATGTATTTCTGTTCATTCAGTGCAAGCACTGAAATCCTGTTACTTGCTGCTTTCCCATAAAATAAGTATAAATGATCTAATCAAAAGGAGAAATAGTAATTAATTAAAAGTCCAGTCAGTGAATTTGGTTATTTATTTAAGAAAAGTAATCTATCTCCAGTTAGGTTTCCTGTACTGGTTTATGCCATGTCATTAGGATATGGTAAATTCAAGTATGAATGCGATTCACACTTGTACAGTTTCTGTTATCTCTCAATGAACTGTGATTTTTACTAGACTTTGTTAAATAACCATCTGCTGATGGAAAAGTTCTACAGTACATTAGTATCTATAGCCTAAATCGAAGGAAATGTGTGAGCAATTAGACTTTGACCATTTGAACTTCAATAGTAATAGTCCGTAATTTCTGCCAAAGGAGTCGAAAGTTGCTCACCACAGCTAATAGAGCTTCATGTCTTTAAAATGTAAATCAGTTTTGGGATTAAACAAATATCAGTTGCAACAGAAAAATGGAATTCTCCATTCCATTCATGATAGCGAGCACTATCCCAAACTTTTATGTTCTATTTACTGTGTTACACAAACCTGCTTTTGCATATGTTGCAATGAGTAGATCATCAGGTCTGGCTTTGAAGTTCCACACTCGATCCCATATGGTGCACATTGGTTTCATGACAGGAATACCTTGCACTTCACCCAATTCAGATCGGAGCATATCATCATCCAGACTCAAATTTTTCATTTTATCCAGGGACATTTTGTCCTGCATGAGGAATGAAAGGCTTGGAAATTGACATGTTTGCCAAACTGACTTACCCAACCTCAAGGTCCCTTTCCATATCCTCTGATTTACTTGCCTGTGTTTCAAGCTATCTGAGTCCATATTTATACTCCTGGATGTAATTTGAAGAAATGCTTGGCATGTTGCTGTTGGCAACTCTCAGCATCTTTAAAAACCACTCCATTTACTCAGATACAAGAAGAGATTAAAAAACTCCAAACATTATTTCCATCTTTAGGCATCTTTAACTATAAGTATATAACTATAAGTAAAACACTGACTGTTGTGACATTTGAAAGGCAAAAAAAACTAATCAGGGATGTGATTCAAAAGACGATAGAGCCTAAAAGCTCCCACTGAAGTCAGCACATACGACCCAACCTTTTGTTCTGAAAGAAAAGAAACAGACTCTCCTGCCAACACCCCTTGGGCCTGATACTCACGACAAATATGTGCAGAACTCGTCTGGTCTGTGTTTCGTCCTTGCAGCTTTTCACTTTTAGGGTTTTTTGCTGAATACTGGATTTTTTTTACTGGTAAATAACCTGAAACAGATAGATGATTAACTAAAGTCTGTTACACATTAATTATTTAAATCAACCCAGTTGAATCCGCTGCCCATCCTACAGCTTTACAAAAAGTAGTTACAGATTTATGTATTCCTCTTGAGGAATATTCTAGCTATAAAATTCAGAGTTCCAGAATCTGATTGGTGGAAATTTCTGCATTCGAGGAGGCTACAGAAATGACCTCAATTACAAATATGAGTTAGAAAGGATAAAAGACAGATTTCAATTTCAACAGCAAACGCTGTCAAAATATTTCCTTTTGTTTCCATATTTACTCACATCTGTTTTCACACAGATTCTGTTGAACAGAGCAAGAAGTTGGTTGGTGACTGAGCTCTGAGTCAAGAAATTAAAAAAAAAAAGACAAAAAAAACTTACAAGAGAAGTTTTCATGCTTGAATGTCTTCAGCCATAGGTCATATCAGTGACAGTGTAACTGCCCAGATCTTCAGACAGATGTAGAATGAAAGCTTGGCTGGAGTTTCTATCCCTCCTATGAGAGTGATGAGAGCAAGGGAGGAAATACAGCAGCAGCCAATAGCTGAAGAGTTTTTCTGGCTTGGTTAATTAACTCCTTTTTAATCCTGTCATGGAAAACTACTTTGAATTCTCATCTGAAGTATGATTCTTTGCTGAAAACAACCTTGGATATTGGCTACTACCTCCAGACAGATTATTTTAATTTGTCTGTATTGTTGTCAATAGTCATGAAATGATACATTTTCTTTCTAATATTAGTCTAAGTTGCCAGAACAGTTTATTTGCTGTTAACACCTAAGATCCATGGGACTGGATTAATTGGTTTCATTTTCATGATATTTGGCACTATGCTCATTTAATGGAAGTCCAAGGATATGTTTTATTGATGGGGCTAGCCATTTTTGCTATGGACTACTTTCTAACAGGCTCACTTCTCAACTAGTATGGCATTGCAGGGTTTGGTATCCCCACACGTGAGGTAATGTTTCTTTCTAAAATCTAAGTTTCTGTCTAACTTTGTATGAGGTGCTGGGAGAGATAATGATGTGCCCTACATGAGTCACAAACAGCACAGTAACACTGGCTGACAAAAGTCGAATAATGATACTTTTATATTAATTCTCAAATATTGCAGTCAGATGTTTGAATGCATCAGAAGAAGTTATTCTTTTCCTGAGGCAAAATGTAGGTCGCTTCAGCTGAACTCAAGAAAGTTTGGATGGATTGTATTCATAAGCAAAATTATGAATACACAGCACTGCTGTCTGGTCCTGCTTCTATTTTCCATTGAAGGTATGCTGTCACTCTGCGTCCTCAAAACTCCTGTTTGGTTATTCTTTGGATGGCCTGGCAAGATTTGTATCTGAAATAGCTTTCTTTCTGTTTCCATTTTAAAAGATATTTAATGCATCCAAATCAAATGAGGATGTGACTATCCTTGCACAATCTTTTATGGAGGGCTAATCAGCATTCTACCCCTTGATCCACATGCAGTTTACATTTCCCAGAAATTTTACAGGTTATATGTTATGTTAGTAATGTGGGCTTTTATACAAAGCTCAAGAGAGCTGACATGAATTGTTTAACATCACTGGTACATAGAGTGATAGAATGGTGTGGGTTGAAAGGGACATTAAAGACCATCTAGTTCAACCCCTTTCCATGAGCAGAGACACTTTCTAGTAGACCAGTTTGCTCAAAGGCCCATGCAACCTGGCCTTGAACACTTCTAGGGATGGGTCATCCATTCCTTCTCTGGGCAGCCTGTGCCAATGCCTCATCATTAAGAATTTCTTATATAATCAAAGTCTACACTTTTTTATTTTAAAGCCATTATGTCTTGTTCTGTCACTCTACTTCCTGATATAGAGTCCCTTCCCGTTTTTCCTGTAGGCCCTTTTAAATTTTCAAAGGCTACAATGAGGTCTCCTGAAACCCTTCTCTTCTTCAGGCTTAAAAACCTCAGCTCCTTCAGCCTGTCTTCTGGGCTGCATGCACAAATTGCTGTCTCATGTTCAGCTTTTCATCTACTACTACTCCAAAAGAAGACTGTACTTCATCCATTTCCCACTCAGCCTGTATTTGCGTTTGGGATTGCCCTGATCCAGTCACAGGACCTTGCACTTGACACTGTTGAACAGCATGAGATTTGTGTGGGCCCACCTCTCAAACCTGTCAAGGTCTCTCTGGATGACATCCCTTCCCTCTAATGTGTTGACTGCACCACACAGCTTGATGTCACATGCAGACTGGCTGAGGGTACATTCAATCTCACTGTCCACAAATATGTTAAGTAGCATTGGCCACAATGCCATCCCCTGAAAAATGCATTTGTCAGTGGTTTCCACATGGACATCAAGCCACTGACTGTCAGTGCAACAGTCCAGCTAATTCCTCATTTATGGAGTGGTCCACTCACCAGATCCATATCTCTGAAGTTTTAGAGACAAGGGTGTCATGCAGTACTAGTGTTAAATGGTGTACAGGTAGTATCACCAAGGTTGGAAAAGACCTCTAAGAGAATCCAGTTCAACCAGCTACATATCACCAATATTTCCCACAAAGCCTTATATCTCAATACAACATCTGAATGTTTCTTGAACACCTCCAGGGATGATGACTCCACCACCTTCCTGAGCAGCCTGCACCAGTTCCAGACCACTCTCTTGGAGAATAAGTATTTCCTAATGTCCAATCTGAATGTCCTCTCGTGCAACTTGAGGCCATTCCCTCTAGTCCTATTTCTAGTTAGATGGAAGAATAGGCTGACCTCCATCTCACTACAACTTCCTTTCAGGATGTTGTAGAGAGTGAAATGGTCGTCTCTGAGCCTCCTCTTCTCCAGACTAAACAAACTCAGATCCCTCAGCCACTCTTCATAAGACTCGTGCTCCAGATCCCTCACCAGTTTTGTTGACCTTCTCTGGACACACTCCAGGACTTCGATGTCTTTCTTGTAGTGAAGGGCCCAAAACTGAACACAGTACCTGAGCTGTAGCCTCACTAGGGCGAAGTACAGGGAGATGATCACTTCCCTGCTCCTGCTGGCAACACTATTTCTGATACAAGCCAGGATGCCTTTGGTCTTCTTGGCTGGACACACTGAAGGTTCATCTTCAGCCAAGTGTCAATCAATACCCTCAGGTGCATTTCCTCTACAGTCTTCTAGCCAGGTAGATGATGTCAATTGCTCTTCCCTTAACTACCAGTGCTGTAACTGCATTGCAGAAGACCATCACATTTGTCAAGTATGACTTGCCATTAGTGATGCCATGTTGGTTGTCACCAATCACTTCTTTGTTTTCCATATGCCTTAGTGGAGTTTCCAGGTGACTACCCCATGATCTTCCCAGTCACAGAGATGAGATTGACTGGTCTGTAGTTTCCCAGGTCTTCCTATTTTCCCATTTAAAAAATGGGGCCCCTTTTCTCTTCCTGGGCTTTATCCTATTGTACTCTAGCAAGCACAACCCAGGAGAGGACAAAATCTACTATCCTGAGGTCCAAGATAGTGAATTTGCTGTGTGGCCTCCTCACAGCCTTAAGGATTGTGAACTTTCACAGTCTCTGCAGCAAAGGCTGCTCTTGAACTTCATGTTCCTTAACAGCCTCTTGTTCATGAGAATGAGGACCAGCAAAGCACATCTCATTATTGGCTTCTCAATCACTTGGAGAAGGAATTTATCATAAAAACTGTCCTGGTTTCAGCTGGGACAGAGTTGATTTTCTTCATAGTGTCTTGTTTGATGCTGTGTTTTTGCTTTAAAGAGGAACAATATTGAGAATACACTGATGTTTAGTTGTTGCTGAGCAGTACTGTACAGAATCAAGGATGTTTCAGCTTCTTGTACTGCCCTGCCATCAAGAGGGCTGGGGGGACACAGGGAGCTGGGAGGGGACAGAATCAGGAGACATGATCTGAATGGGCCAAAGGGATATTCCATACCATATGACATCATATGAAAAAAAACTATAAATCTGAGGGAGGTTGGCCAGGGGGATAGCCGCTGCTCAGGGACTGTCAGGACGTTGGTTGGCAGGTGGTGAGCAATTGCTATGTGTACCAGTTGTTTTGCAAATTTATGCATATATAATTATTGTTGCTGTTATTTCTCTCTTAGCAAATAGTTTTTATCTCAACCTATTCTCTCCCCAACCTTCTGGTAGTAGGGAGTGAGGTAAAAGGCTGTGTGGTGTTTAGCTGTTTGCTGGTGCATATGACGTATTCAACTGAAGGTTTTGCATAGGCTCCTAGTACAGGACAGTACATGGCAAAGCTGTGCAGGTGAAGACTTAAAAAAACAAGGGAGGGGGGTGAAGGTGAGTGCAGGGCTGTGCAAACAGAATGAGGCAAGTTGGGCAGATGTGCAAATGTGAGAGAGTAAGGGAAAGAGAGGAAAAGGTGATGAGTTTTCCAGTGCAAATCATAGTGTAAAGTTAGTGAGTTCCCACTGAGGATCTGGAGGAGGTAATGAATTGGCAGCATTCTCTGTAGAATTTCAAGAAAGTTTTCCAAAGTATCAGGAAAAAAACAAAGAAACAAAAAAAAAACTTCCTGATTGGCTTTCAGATAACTATTTCATTATTTTCTGTCTCTGACACACTGGTTTCATTCTGAAGGTTGACTGCACCAGAACTAACAGGCAAGACAGAACAAACACAGAATATGCAGTTAAGGTCTAATGCTTCTTTTTCTGTTTCTCACGCTATTTTTTTTATGGCTATCATTCTCAAGTTTTGCAATCCTGCTCCTTTCCTCTATAGAAGCCCATGCCAATTTTGCTTGTCTTTCTCACACCTTTATCTGAGCACTCATTTGTTAGTTTGAAATGGTGTTCGTGCCTTTTCTAGTTATGCAGCTATCTTGATCATGAAGTAATCTCCAAAGTAAATCTGCTGAATTTGCTGCCTGAACAAAGCCCAAGAGCTCCTTATCAAGTGGTTCTCTTTTATTGCAGCTGTGAATCTGAAGCCTATGAACACCGCACTGTGCCAGA